TGTGTGTGTGTGTGTGTGTGTGTGTGTGTGTGTGCGTCTGTCTGTCTTTCTCTGTGTCTCTGTCTGTATTTCTCTAAGCCCCTCTCTCTTTCCATCTCTTTTTCTATCTCTCCTATCCCTGGTGTGAAGAAACCCTACACAACCTTAGAATAACAAAGTTCTATCTGACATTGTGTGTCCTCTTCCTGTCTGTCTTTGTGTCAGTGTGTCTGCTTGTGTGTCTGTCTGTCTGTCAGTCGGTAAGTCTGTCTGTCTATCTGTATTGGCTAGAAACTGTGTGTCCCCTTTATGGAATGGTCGTATGTCGAACACAAGATGCCTTGATATAATATTATGTATGCCTGTGTGTCCGTCGGTCAGTGTGTCCGTCGGTCAGTGTGTGCGTGCGTGCGTGTGTGTGTGTGTGTGTGTGTGTGTGTGTGTGTGTGTGTGTGTGTGTGTGTGTGTGTGTGTGTGTGTGTGTGTGTCTATCTGTTCAGGTCAGAAGCTGTGTGTCTGTCTATCAATGCAGGTCAGGAACTGTGTGTCTGTCTAACTGTACAGGTCAGAAACTGTGTGTCTGTCTATCTATACAGGTCAGAAGCTGTGTGTCCCCCTTATGGAGTGGTCCTACGTCCAACAGAAGATGCCCTGGCACCTGCTGTTCCTTTTGGGGAGTGGATTCGCTCTGGCCAAGGGCAGTGAGGTAATCACTTGGGGGGGGGGGGGTTGTCTATTTATGTTTTTCTTTACTTTCACTTTCTCTGACCTCTGTTGCCTTAGAGTGTCGATGTGAAAAGCACATTTTTCTCTTGTTTGCTGATTCATCTGCTGCATGGTTATAATAATATTGTTTATTAAAATTGTGTCTAATGTATCTCTGACCTTCTCTATCCATCTTTTTCAGAGCCAGCCTTTTCTTCTGTATCAGTCTGATCTCTGGTTGAATGCTCTCGATATTATGCTTTCTGGTGGTAGTCTTGACAGATCGTTACCTTAGAATTACAAAGTTCTATGTGACATTTTTGGTCGTTTTGAGTTACTAAGACCATGAGGTCAGATATTCTATAATAATAATGCTTTATCAAAATCGTAAGATTATTCGGAGTCGTTATCAAGATATTCAAAGCATTGTATTCGAAAAAGCTTGACATGTTGTTAAACTCAAAATCTTTGACGTCAAATTTCTCAAAAAATAAGTGTTGAGCAGAAAGAGCGTTGTAATTCTGAGGTAGCAAAATGTTTAAACCGTTTTATGCGTAGTTTATTGATCTAACCGAGGCAGGAAACTGAGCCAACTTGTTCTCTAACAATCTCGTTTGTCATCCTGCCTCTTCTTGCTATGCTTAAAGTTCTTCTTATGCATCTCAACCGATGACTTTGCTTCATTTACTCTTGTTCATTGTCCATGTTTTGGCGTGGTAGTTTAATGTTGGTATGAAGATGCTGCTATTGGATTGGCGCTTTGTTTCCATTGTGATGTGCTGAAATCAAAGTATACTCCCCCCTCTCCTTTTTATGAATGGGTGTCTGTGGGGCGCTCAGGTGTGGTTTGCTCCTTCTTTCCTATCAAGCATACACCGTCCTTATTTTTCCTCCCTCTTTTCTTTGTATTTCACTCTCTAGTAACACCTCTAATCTTAGTTATATGACATAGGTGCGGTAAAACTCTTAGTCTTATTATTAAAACTAAAACTCTCGTGTGTCTTGGCGCATTAGGGTAGTCACAGACAGTTGTTTAGTGCTTCTGTAAGACACAGTACCACCCCACTGTGACCCTCATTGTGACCCCTCGGGGTACCAAGATGTTGCGTTCTAGGCCATGCAAGTTGCAATAAGGGCTGTACTTTACTTTTACAGTATAATGCCCAGCGCTCACTGCCAATCTGATTCATCTGACTGAGGCGAAGCCAGACATATGTTCATTCACAATGGGATAAAAGCTAGCATTTTAGCATAATTCGACCGAATACAACTAAATTCAATGGTGGCCTTCAAAACCAAACACGTTAGCTTTGCAAGATCGCTTGAAGAATCGATCGTATTGGGCCAAAACGGTTGCTTTTGCCCCATCCATGAAAAAAAAATCTGGCTGGCCGCGGTTCCTTCTTATGAATTTGACTGGCTTATCTTATCTTATTATCTTATCTTATCTTATCTATCTTGGTGGTTGGTTGGCGGGTGCTGTGGTGTGATTTGCTCCTTCTTTCCTATCAAATATCTATCGTCCATATCTCTCCTCCTTCTTTCTGTATTTGTTACTCTCTTGTAACACCTCTTATTTCGGCACGTACATTATTTTATTGTGTTGCAAGCGCCGTAAAACTGTAACTAAAACTAAACTGTCTTATTTTATCTTCCCCAGCGCTCAGGTCTGTCCTACTGGCTAGGCACACAGCTGGAGGTTTTCAATGACGTCAACCAGTGGGCGGTCCTCTTCATTATCGGATATTTCGCCACGTTTCTCACAGAAGTGACGTCGAACTCGGCCATCGCCAATCTGCTCCTGCCTATGCTGATACAACTGGTAATAAAACCACACGTCACCATGCTGATATCATGATACACGTTCCCATGTTTTTACAACTGGTTACGTCCCCATGTTGGTACAAATGGTAACAAAACGACGGATTCCCATGTTGATACAAGAGGTAACAACATTACACATTCCTATGTTTTTACAACTGGTAGCAACACGTTCTAATGTCGATGCTGGAAGCGACACCATACGTCCCCATTCTGGTACAAATGATTACAACACCACACGTCTCCATGTTGATAAAACTGGTAGCAACACGTTCCCAAGTTGGTATAATGGGTTAAAAAACAACTTGTCCCCTTGTTGATATCATGATACACGTTCCCAGGTTGATATCGTGATGCACTTTCCATTTTGATACAACCAGTAGCAATAATAATAATATGTTCCCATGTTGATACAACCAGTAGCAATAATATGTTCCCATGTTGATACAACCGGTAGCAATTATATGTCCCCAGTTTGATATCGTGGTACATGTTCCCATGTTGATATTGCGATACTCGATCCCATGCTGGTACAATTGCTCATAACACCATACGCCCCTGTGTATCACAGGATTGATCACACATGTCCAAGTTTTATTTAAATATCTTTTATATAGTCATTTACCTCTATGGGGATGCACATTCAGCGACAACGCTTGAAGACGTGCTGTTTTAAGCCAATTTAAAAAAAAAAAGAAGCACAACTTTGTTAAAGGGTTGTTGACTATTTTGATCAGATACTTTTAAATAGTATGTTCCAATTTGGATTTGCATTGTCGGATTTATTCATCAAACTTCCACTGTGAAAGGAAGAAACAAATAACATGATCTCCCTCCATACGCCCTTTATGAAGAAACCAATAAACCAATCAACATCATTTAATTTTGACCTCCCCCCCCTCCCCTTATCCTCCAGGCTCTGAGGACGGGTGTCCACCCACTCAACTACATGTTCCCGGCTGCTCTGGCGTGTTCCTTTGCCTACATGCTTCCAGTTGCCACGCCCCCTAATGCCATCGTCTACGCTACTAACAAGGTCAAAATGTCTCTGATGGTGAGTGGGGGAGAGGGGCTGGGGAGAAAGAGGGGCTCGGGAGGAAGATGGGAAGGGGGAAGAAGAGAGGAGGGGAGGGGAGATGGGAAGAGTGGGAGGGGAAGGGAGGAACAAGGAGAGGGGAGGAACACGAACAAGGTCCACCGGTCTCAGACAGGGACGGGG